CTGCTTCTAAGGAGAAAAAAAAAATTAAATATCAAATCCTACAGCAGGTTCTAAACAGCTCAAATGAGGTCATGAGGCAACGTCATATTGGCCATGGAACTGATTGCTGCTTATGCAGGTCAAGCTTTTAAGACACATCACATGAACTGAGCTCAGACAATTGAGATTCACTCAGGATCCTTCTCTCCTTTCTCTTGGCTTTCCCCCTGACTTCCCAGTTTGGAGCAGAGCAGCTCCAAACTCACCATGTGTCCCAACTTGCTCCAACCTGTGAAGTGCAGAATTGGCCTAACTCTGCCCAAAGATTTAGGCAAATGTAATGGTTCTGTACAAACAGCAACACTTGAAGTGCTCCCTGTTCGGCAGGAGGACGCAGGTGATGGAGAACAGGTATCTCCCTAGCAAGTCAACACATTTCTCTCTCATCAGGATCTATTTAGGTCTAGGAAGGACACAGGTATTGGCTGGAGTGTAAGGCTCTGACAATAACACATGTATTATGGTCTGCTGGTGACAGGAGTTCCAAAGAAACAAATCCCAAAGCCTCAAAAGACAAGAAGAACAATAGGCAAAGTAACAAAATTCAGCTTAACATTAAGGAAGCACCTTCATCCAGTCCAAACTGCTCCAACATTGGACTTTGCAAAGCACTCTCAGGAAAAGGTAATGGAACCTCCCACTTCACCCCACACAGAGCTGCAGGAATTACATTCCAGGCTTCAGCATAATTCCACCAGGAAGGCCAACAACACAATTCCATCAGGTCATGCAGTGTCACCCTCTGCACCTGCTGTGCCAGAGTGGCAATGGCTCCTGGACACCTCTCAAGTCACACAATGCCCCCAAAACCATGGGGAAAAGGTGAGACTCAGCAGTCCCCACTGCTTGGGTCTGCTCCTGCCATCCATGCAGCTCTGCTGCACAGAGCAAAGGGAAGAACCCAACTAAGTGGCAGCTCAATGGATCTTCCTTCTGGAGTCTCTAGGAGAGCCTTTGTCTCATTGACCATCAGAAGTGGTTTCAGCTGAAGGTGATTTTTAATTAGGACAGCAAGTTCCAGGCAGCTCTGAAAGGCACTTGGGGTGCAGTGGTGACAAACTCCTGCCAGGTGACAGCTCTGTGGCCTCACTGCTGCTCCTGCTGCCCTGTGCAACTCTGCAGCCAGAGCTTCTCCCACACACAACTGCAACTGAGACTACCATAAAGCCTTCCCCAAAATCCAGAAGGCTGCACAGCTTCCCCCTCCCCAGGAGGAGGGGAGAGAGTTCCCTCACACCAAGGGAACAGCCTGCACTGGTTTCACTGGGTTTCATGTGCTCTCGAGGTGTCACCATGCAACTCTTGAAAATAACTCTACAAGTTCAGTCTCTTGTTTACTAGATGAACACAGACAAATGACCACAGACAGTGTCCTCACAAACCACCAGGCCACTGTGTCTTCTGAGAGACACAGGACACTTCTATCTGGGATCATGGAAAAGAAATTATACGTAAAAACAACCTTGTGTAATTCCTCCACAACATCCATCCAGCCACTTGGCCAAGTCAGAATCAAAGCCACCAGCTGTCACGAGAAGCACCTTCATATCAGTCTCTGCTCACCCCTGAAGCTCAGTCTGAGTTTGAAATGTATCAGGACTAATCTGCTCATGCAGTTGGTTCTGGCCAGGCTGGTGAGCCACTGGTTGCAAACAATCAAGTGTTGTTCCCAGCAGTATTTTACATTAGTGTAATGGATTTATCCATGTCACTGTTTTTCCCACCCCTTCCCCCCCCAAAACACCCCACAACTGCTCAAACAAGGAAACCCACTAATAGCCATACTGTGAAACAAAGACACTAGTGAAAAAACAGAGGGATGACAGTCCAACCGTTTGCAGGATTCAAAACTGACTCTACAAAGTAGTTGTCTACATTGTAGAAAGGATTTCCTTTTATTTGGAAAATGAGCAACTGGAAATCATCAGGTATTGGAGAGAAGAGATATAAACAATCTTTAGATGGTCTTTAAGTTTTGCCTACTGTCGAAGGATTAAAACCGTAAATGAAAAGGTACCAAAGTCCTCAGAGTTCACTGCTCATGTGAAGCTTCTTCCATCTCTTTCTTGACCTTTTGAAAAACCATATTCATTTCTGGGAAAGAGAAAAAGATGAACAATTATTTAGGGAAAAAACCCCAGCAGATAATTCTTATTCTGCTCAACTTTGACTCAGGAGAGGCTTAAACTCAACCCAAAGTCAAACCTGGCTTAGAACCTGTGGAGCTTCCGCAGTGAGAGGTGAGATTGGGTTGAGAGGGAGGTAAAAAGCCTCTAGAATTTAGGCACCTTGGATTACAAGCACTCTGAGCACCCTGTGAATGTGTTCTCCACACCCACACTCTGCCCCTGCCATACCCACCTGCCTTGGCATGGAAGGCTCTGTCCATCCTCTCATCTGAAACTCTTCTGCTGTTGCATCAGCCCCACATTTTCATATACTCTAGCACTATCTTCTCTCATTCTGAAATGAAACAAAAAGATTTAGAGGCCCAAGAATCTTGTTAGGAAGAAAAAAACCACAAAATACATGTTCACACAACAGAATTCAGTGACAATGAGTTTTGCTCAGTTTGTTTTCAGAGCAAAGAGTCCAGGGCAGTTCTGGGATAACTCAGCCTCATTCCAGGTCCCCAAAGATTTGTTAGCACAGCTCAAAAGATGCACACTAAGAGCAGCAAGGAACTCACTCTGGGCACGTCGGGGTTGGGATACAGGGTGGGAGAGGACTCTGATCTCCACTCGTCTGGTCCGATAAAGAGTATTTAATGTTTGTGTATTCGTGACCTTTTCTCTTGCTCTTCTGTGAGGCAAAACACAGCAAAAAGTTTGGAATTAGTCATAGAAAACAATCCTTGAAGCAGTGCAGAACTTACAGGAGTAACTAACCACGGAGGAGAGAGCTCAGTCCTGGAGGTAACACACACAACACAGAAGATCGGAAGGTTGAGACTTGAATTATTGGCTGCAAGACCTGAAAATCCTCATTTTTCAATACATCCCTTTCCTCCATCTCCAGCAGAACATACCAAGACTATGAACCAGCACTTGTACTCAGGCTTCATCTCCCCTGGCACAGTTCATTCCTTACCAGCCAGTGGGCTCCCCACTGACCTTGTTTCCAGCTTGGAGATGTGGCCAACGGAGTAACAAAATTGTTTGCAAGGTCTCAGTAAAATAATATCTTAGCCCATTAGGTTTGATATAAAAAGAAGCCAAGCTGTTATTTGTATTCTGCAGCATATGTTAGAGGCTGCAGCCAATCCTGCTGGCACTGAGCTCCAGATCCTGATGGCTCCAGGAGGGAACTACACTGGGAAGGAAAGGGATATATGGATTTTTCCTTTTCCAGGCAAATAGTCACAGCATTAAATACACTGAACCTGCAACAGAGGAATTCAAGCTTTACAGGGTACTGGGATTGGGGTTTTGGAGGTTTCTAACTGCTCCAAGTAGCACTAACTGCCTGACCAACCTCCCAGCAGAGGCTGTCACAGCCCCCAGGGAGTTCTGGCTCCTGAATTCCCATTAAGAACATTCCTATGGCAGTGCAGGTTGAAGCCTTTCCAAGATAATCTTCTGAAACGTGCTCAAAACTTGCTTAACTTGTCCTGGAATTTCACTGCACTTCTCCCCTTTCTGCTTTTTCTTACCTCCAAACTCCCAGTCCAGATCAATTACTTGGAATACGAATGTTAAAAAATCAGATTTAAACAAAATGCAAAGGTTCAAACCCTCTGAACTCTGCTACAACCCTCTCCCCTGCCAAAAACACTCTGGAGCCCCAAACACAGTGGAATCTGAGTGCAAGGAATGGTTTTAAGAGGAAGAATGAGGAGAAGGTGTTGTGGCTGTCACCACATCCTCCAAAACCTTTCTTATCTTCCCACATCAAATCTCTCCTCTAGCTGCTTTTTGTTGACACTACTGCAAGATCATCACACTCATCCTTTAATCTTTGAGTTCAAGATACTGATTTCCTGCTAATAAACTCCAAAATGGCTTTACAGTCACTACCTTGTGATTCTGGGGTGACACTGGCCCAGGCTGCCCAGGGAGGCTGTGGCTGCCCCAACCCTGACAGTGTTTCATTCCAGGTTGGATGAGCCTTGAGCAACCTGCTCTGGTGGGAGGTGTCCCTGCCCAGGGCAGAGACTGGGGTTGGATGGTCTCTAAGCTCCATCCCAAGCCCTAAAATTCCCTGATTCTATGCTTATCCTGGTCTAGAAACACAATTAACAGCTCTGAAATCTCTCGAAACCCCAACAGATCACCAGGCTCTGTATTAATTAACAGACCCTTATCTTTTATTCTTCTTGCACAGACAACTAGCTAATATAAATGGAATTTGAGATCTGGGGTGTAGGGACTGTGGGACAGGAAGGATAGACAGGATTCCACTAATAAATTAAGGAGAAGATTCCACCTATTAATTTCAGTAGAAGATTCCACCTAATGTTTTAAGTCATTCTTAAGCATAAATGGATTGAAATATAGGTCAGGTTGTCTGGAGAGGGTGAAGAGGTTACAGATCCAGCACTTTCACCACACATCCCTCAGAAAAATCACAGGCAGCAAACTCTGCTCCCTGTTCCAGTCCTCCTGTGCAGCACTTCATCCCCAGGACACCCTTACCTGCTCCTCCTCGATCCTGCGCTGTAGCGTTTCGATGTAGTGCTGAACTGCCATGTAAATAAACCTGTACTGGGCCTCTGTCTGCACCATTCCTGACCTCTGGGATCTCACCATCTGGATGGTCTTTGGAACATCAATATCACAGTCCACACCTGGGGAGAATCATCATCACCATGTTAGGAACAGGAAAATAAGCACAACAAGGTTGGAGCATCGGCAGAAGTTTCTAGCAACACTGGTGTGATTTTGCTGTGAGGTGTCAGTCAATGGCCCATCCTGACATGGAATGGAAAAGGAATAGAGAAAGGAAAAGATTAAAGGAAAAGGGAGGAACTGACCTTTTTCTCTGATGATGTCAATAAGAATATCAATCACAATGAAAGTTCCTGTTCGCCCAATCCCAGCACTGAAAAGGGGGGAAAAACTCAGTTAATTGTTTTGATCTTTCTGAACAGACACCAAAACACCAACCCAAGGGAGAGTCAAACAGTAAGAGACCTTAGGCTTCCAAACTGTAGCCAGAGTTAAAGCCACAGAGTCAAAAGTGACCACAGAGGCCTCAACTTATCATGGAAGAGACAGAAATCCTAACAGCAATTCTGTCCCTCAGCATTTATAAACATCACTGAATCAGGAAAGAACCCACAAGGTCAGACTTATCATTTCCTTGCCTCATGGAAAGTAGCTCATTGCTAAACCAAGACTGAGGGGAGAGCACTGACAGGTGGGATGGGATAGCAGAACTTCCATGATCCTGCACCTGGAATGTACCAGCCAAGACTGAATGACAAGGTGGAACCAACACCAAGAAGTCTCACTCAATCAGACAAACACCCTGTGAAAGAGCTGCTTCAGGGGGAAACCATGTGACACATCTAGAACATGGCACTGGGCAAGATGGAAAGCATAAACAGATGGAAGTCTGAGTAATGCTCAGGGAAAGCTGTTCTCTGCTAAAGGTTTCAGCTCCCAGAGCCTAGAGGAGCAGCAGCAGGAGAAGCACAGTGGGATCACCTCACCTGCAGTGGACCACGACAGGTCCTGCATCAGGAATGCTCTCCTGCTTGTGGTGCACCTCCTCCAGGAAGTCCAGCACACCCCCAGGGTCACTGGGCACGCCGTGGTCAGGCCAAGTCCTGAAGTGATATTGCCACACTGTTCTCTCTGTGTTCCCCTGCAAGGAAGAGGCAACAGGTGAAAACATAATCTTGCAGAACAAATCCAGCTGAAAAAGGGTTTAAGGGGCAAAGCTGAGTCAGATGGCAAGTGGCACATCCAAAATCCAACCTGCTGCTCAGTGTCCACATCTCTCCCAGAGGAGGGAACAAGGCAGAGTCCTTCTGGGCCTGGCAAGTCACTCACTGCCTCCTGTTTGCTTTGCTCCCTGATCCAAACTGCTCCTCAACAAGGAGGTGCTGTTTCCACTGTTTCCTCCCTCATCTCTTGATCCCTTCCCTAAGAAGTGATCTTTCCATACTCTGAACCCACACACAACCTTTGCCTCCAGTACAATCTCCTCCATGGGAGGGAGCAAACCCTTGGCTGGGTCCAAGTGGGATTAGATGGAAGCACTGTCCCTCCTTCCAGCTTCCCTCCAAGCTCTGCAGCAGTGCAACTCCTGCCAAAAAATGCTTAGGTATGAGAAGCTTCAATTATCCCAAGGACAAAGGGAAGGATGGATGGTGCAAAACCTGCAGCTTCAGAGAAAGACAGGGCTCCATTTATTAATCCTTAGTGCTTTTATTGATTCCAAGGAAACAGCCTATTTCTGCCAAGTTTTTCTGGTGATCTGCAACCCAAACTGAAAAGACAGAGTTACCCCATGACTTACTTGCCCAACTTTGGAAAGTTTGAGCTCTCTGAGTGTGTAGTCGTGTGCTGCACTTTCCTTCACGTTCCGAACACGCATCACCCCGTACTCCTTCAGGGAATACTCATCAGGCCAGTACTTGACACACTTACTCTGCAAGATTTAAAACCAACAAAAAAGGAGCAATCAGTCAGGAGAAAAAATATCTGATTTGCAAACTGGTTAACTAACATAACTCAGGAGTTTTAAGTTCAGTGGGATTTGGATGCTGTGACAGGTCAGGAAAGAACAATTCCTGGGAATGTAATATGAGTCCAGGCAGCACCAAGTGAGGAGTTATAGTAGGTGCAGCTTCCAAAACACCAAACACCAAGTACCAGGGAGAAATATTGCCTATTTGCAGTCATTCCTCACATTTAGGAGACAACATGGCACGAGGGAGTTCCTTCTGCCAACACAAGACAGAGGAAGAGGGTTGAACACAGACTTTCCATGGGCAACAAGATGCTTTCCTGTTCCTTTTGCCCTTCTTTCCCTGTCCTAAGGGTAGAAACTAAAGCAAAGATGCTGCTCTTGGTGTGTGCCAACACAACCTGCAGCTCAACACAGAACCCTGCACACAAGAGCAGTTGGCAGACCAAGTCTGAGCAGCAGATGATGCCAAAATAAGCTCTGTCTGCTGGAGGGGTCACACGTGTTGCTGCCCCCAAAGCCACTCCCAGGCTGTGAGGAGCTGCTGCCTCTTGCAGGGCACTCTGAAGCACACTCAGAGCTGAGATGTTCCACAGCTCCTCACTTCCCAAGGCAATGTGCTCTTGGAGTCAGAGGTTTCTCCCCTTCGTGCAGATCTGAAAGCATCCTGGCCTGAGATTAAAAAAACTTTGCTTGTGTATCAGGGCTGTTATTGGCAATTCTTGGAGAAGTGAAATAGGCACCAAAAGACAATAAAGGGTGAAGAAAACCCAAACCAATCAATGCATGCAGCACTGAGGAAGGAATCAGGCACAAAAGTGCTGTCTGCAGCCAACAGGCTCAGCAGTTTGGAGAGAATGGGAGTGCAGAGGAGCACAGACCACCCAGGAGAAGAGAGAGAGGTGCACTCAAAGCAACTCCTCATCCTTTACATCTTCCCTTCCACACCACAGAGCTCAGAGGAATGTCACTGGAAAGGGGAAGCATCTCCCTCCCTCAGTGCATGCTCAGGAAGGAAACAAATCACATCCCTATACAAAGGTGATGAAAGGGCAGAAGTTTACAAAGCCTAAGAAAAAGATCCAGAAGACAAAGTCTAACAAAACCAGCAGCTTTGATACCTAAATTAGGGAGAGGAGCCCAGAAAATCCACTGCTGTTTGTCTTCAGTCCAAGTAGCAAGGCCTGTTCTTGGGGCAGGGGGTAAGGAGCTCCTGCAATTATTAATCACCCACAGAACTTCAGCTACACTTTTAATCTGTTTTCCACAAGTGAAGCTTATCTAACATGGTAACAACTTCCCATTATTCCAGCAGATCATGGGAATATCAAAAAAGGTAAAAAGATGGATAATGGTATATATAGAAAAAGCAGAGAAATCTTAGAGAAGAGAAAGTGTTTACTAAACAGAAAAATGATGAGAAGTGACAACCCCTAAAGAACAGAGGCTGATGATGTGACAGGTGCATATCCTCACTTCCACAGGCACTCAGCACCTTCCAGGTCTCCAAAGAATCACCAGATTCCAGGAAGAAATCCATTTATCCAAGTCAGTTTGGTCCTTACTCGCACTCAAACGTGAACTTGAGTCTGGTTTTACCTTTCCTCTTTCCACTTCTTTTGTGGTCATAACAATGACTCGGGAATTCTCCTGGAACACCATCCTCCAAAAGTCATTCACTGTGTTCTGTAGGGAACCTTGAGTGGCAATGTAGCTTTTTTTTGGCTTGGAGTTGTTGCACTTGGTTTCAAACTCAGGCTAAAGGGGAAAAAGCACAGCAAATGGTGACAAGACCCACTTGGATTGAGGAGAGGATGTTACAGAGGAGACATGAGAGGTGCCCACAAAGCTCCTGGAGGTAGGAATCTACTTACCATAATAATATTAGCATTGATATAGTCTGAGACAGGTTCATTGGGATCACCATCATGGAGAACAACTCTGGTGTGATCAACTGGAAAAATATACAGGGGATGTTAAGCACTTACATCCTACAGCTGTGAACACACCTCTGCCTGCTCCAGAGGCTATTAAACCACCACATTTGGTAAATCTGTGGCTAGAAGATGCAAAAATTCATCACTTGCCAGCTCTTAAAGCAAGTGGCCACAAGCAGCTTGACCAAAATACGTGCTCCTGTCCCCATGTAATTCACAAGCACATGGACAAGGCACTAAGTCAAGGCCTCTAGATTTGCATCATGCAGTTATGTCCCACAAATTAATCCTCTTACATTGAAGCATTTTGGCTTGTTGAATAACAGTTTAGGGCTGGGAGGCTTTAAAATCAAAGCTGAAGATAAAAAAAAAAAAAAAACAAACCACAAACCAATATTGGGAATGGAAATATGAGTATCTACAAAGTGCAAATGTTTGAGGACAGAAATCACAGAGCTAACCCTGAGAGCACAGAGGGGAAACCAGCACTGAAGAGAAGCCAAAGCTCAGCGGTGCTTAATTAACTCTGAGTTTGGGAGTGAAGGAAGTAAAGTGCAGAGAGGAGCAGTCTTAGGTGAGAAGTCAATACTCACAGGGTAAAATGTTCTTGTATCTGTTTTTGTTCTTGTTTTCCTGCCGCTGCCCTTCCTTGCGGCTGTAGAGGAGTTTGCACTCCTGCTGCTGCAGGGTCTGCAGGGAAACAGAGCTGAGAACACAGCCAGGAGGGGCTGGTCCCCACCAGCACAGCAACCCCAGCTCACAGCGAGGGGAGAAAGGGCATCAGGAGAGAGCAAACAGGGTGAACTGTAAATCACCCCACGCAGCAACAGATCGTGTGGGGAGTTCTCCTGCTGGCAAGGAGCTCATTCTCAGTGCCTGGGGCACAGGGAATCACAGAATCATAGGCTTTAAGGGCTGGAATGGACCTTAGAGATCATCTAGTCCCAAATCTCCCTGCCCTGGGCAGGGATACCTCCCACCAGAGCAGGTTGCTCAAGGCTCATCCAACCTGGCTGTGAACACTGCCAGGGTTGGGGCAGCCACAGCCTCCCTGGGCAACCTGGGCCAGTGTCTCATCACCCTTCAATTAATACATTTTTTCTAAGATCTAACCTAAACTTTCCCTCCTTCAGTTTGAATCCATCATCCCTTGCCCTATCACTACAGTTCCTAACACAGAGTCCCTATCTGGCTCCTTGTAGGCCCTTCAGAGATTGAAAAGTTGCTCTGAGGTCTCCACACAACCTTCTCTTGCCCAGGCTCAACAGCCCCAACTCCCTCAGCCTGTCCTCATAGGGGAGGTGCTCCAGCTGTCTTATCAACTCTGTGGCCTCCTCTGGACTTGCTCCAACAGTTCCATGTCCTTATGTTGAGGACACCAAAACTGTGTGCAGTATTCCAGGTGGGACTCACCAGAGCAGAGTAGGGGGGAAGAATCACCTTTTTTGACCTGCTGCCCACAAATGGGACAGGAATGGGACAGGGACACAGCAACTCCACAGTGTCACAGCTGTGCTGCTTGTGGAAAACATCCCTACTGCAATGGGACCAGAATCCCAAAGCTTTGTCCCCAGTTAATCCCTCAATCAGTCCTGGCCTCACCAACAGAAACACTCAGGCTGTGGCAGTTGCTCCCCTGGTTATTCCCACTCCTAAGGCTCTTGCAGATTGCTTTTTACTTTCAAGCTTGGGCACATCAGGCACATTTGCTTACTTCCATTTCAGTCTCTGCTGTTGTTCTGCCTCACTTAATGACCTTGGACAATTAGGCTCATCCAACAGGGAAAGCCATGAGCAAAAATAATGGAACAGAGATTAAAAGTTTTATGCTTGTTGAGCAAAAGACAGAAGACACATCCCCACACAGCTTTGCTTGTGGAATGCCAAGGAAAAGGACTGGGAGCTAAACTTTGCTAGCAGGTTAAAAAATGGAAGTAATTAAGTGTGTGGAAACCACAGTTTCAACACATCTTCCTTCATACAGTTAATTATTATTGCTCTGAGCCTCCCTGAGGAGAAATCCATGAGCAGCAGCGACTCCTAACAAGCCCATTAAGAGATGTA